AAAGCAATCTATAGATTCAATGCAATCCCCATCAAAATACCAATGACATACTTCACAGAACTAGAAAAAATACTTCAAAAGTTCATATAAAACCTAAAAAGACCCCAAATTGCCACAGCAATCTTGAAAAAGAAGAACAAAGTTGGAGGGATCACATTACCAGATTTCAGGTTATACTACACAGTCACTGTAATCAAAACAGCCTGGTACTGGCACAAGAACAGAACAGAGAACCCAGAAATGGACCCAAGGCAATATGCTCAATTAATATTTGACAAAGGTGGCAAGAGCATACAATGGAGTAAGGACAGCCTCTTTAATAAATGTTGTTGGGAAAATTGGACAGCTACATCCAAAAAAATAAAACTAGACCATCAACTTACACCATACACAATAATAAACTAAAAATGGATAAAAGACTTAAATGTGACTCATGAATCCATAAAAATCCTAGAAGAAAATGTAGGCAACAAAATTTCAGACATCATACACAGCAGAATTTTCACTGATACATCACTTAAGGCAACAGAAACAAAGGAGAAAATGAACACATGGGACTACATCAAACTCAAAAGCTTCTGCACAGCAAAAGATACAATCATCAAAATGGAAAGGCAACCCACTCTATGGGAGAGCATAATTGCCAATGATATATCAGATAAGGGGTTAATTTCCAAAATATATAGAGTGTCATACAACTGCACAAAAGGAAGGCAAAGAACCCAATTAAAAAATAGGCAGGGGAACTAAATAGACACCTCTCCAAACAGGACATACAAATGGCTAAGAGACATATGAATAAATGTTCAACATCACTACTCATCAGAGAGATGCAAATTACACCAACAATGAGGTATCACCTCACACCTGTCAGAATGGCCACCATCAACAAATCATCAAACAACAAGTGTTGGCGAGGATGTGGAGAAAAGGGGACTCTAGTGTACTGCTGGTGGGAATGCAGACTGGTGCAGCCACTATGGAAAACAATATGGCATTACCTCAAAAAATTAAAACTTGAACTTCCATTTGACCCAGTGATCCCACTTCTAGGAATATACCCTAAGAAGCCTGACACCAATCAGAAAGAATATATGTACCCCCATGTTTGTAGCAGCACTATTTACAATAGCTAAGATCTGGAAACAGCCCAAATGTCCATCAATAGACAAATGGATAAAAAAGCTGTGGTATATATACACAATGGAGTACCATGCAGCTATAAGAAAGAAAGATCTCTTATCCTTTGAGACGACATGGAGGGACGTGAAAAGTATTATCCTAAGCAAAGTAAGCCAAGCAGAGAAAGACAAATATCACATGATCTCACTTATTTTGTGGAATATAATGAACGTAACAGTCTGAGGAATGTGGTAGTCCCAGAGACATGGACTGACTGACAATCCCATGAAGAGGGGGTGGGGCGAGAGATAAACCACAGAACTTATATGCATGTATGTATGGACATGGACAACAAAGGTGGGGACAGGGTGGGGAGAGTGGGGGAGGGGGGAATCAGTGGGTGAATAGGGGAAACATCTGTAACAAAAATAAATTAATTAAAAAAAAAGAAAAAAAAGAAAATGAGCCCAATCTTGGCAAGAGTTTTTCTTCTTTTAAAAAATAAAAGTATATCTGGTCGGTGTGGCTCAGTGGCTAAGCATCAAGCCAGGCACCAAGAGGTCGCCGGTTTGATTTCCGGTCAGGGCACATGCCCAGGTTGTGGGCCTGATCCCCAGTGGAGGGCATGCAAGAGGCAGCCAATTGATGTTCTCTCATCGATGTTTTGCTCTCTCTTTCCTTCTCACGTCCTCTCTCTAAAAAAAAAAAAAAAAAAAAATCTATAAAAAAAAATAATAATAAGTAAAAATAAAAGTATATTTTGTTTGTGTGGAGCTTCCAAGTTGCTTAAACACTTGTATGTCCACTTCACTTGAGGATCCAAACAAGCTTAATAAGTGGGTGTGCAGGCATGATCTTGATGCATGAAAGACTGAAAGTTTCTGACTTTCTGACATGAGTTGTCCCAGGTCACACAGTCTGACAGACAGAAATAGACTTGTGGTCTGATGACTGCTCATTCAGGATTCTATTCCTGGTGTTATCCTGTCTCTCAAAATAAAAGGCAGAAGGGGAACTCAAAGGAGAGGATCCTAGTCTGTGACAGCCTGACCATGCTCCACTGGCAGCTCGCGTTCTGAAAGGGTCAATATATCAGATACTGGGGAAAGGGAAGTGGGTCTCGGCAGCCTTCTCCAACCTGCCATGGCGGGTCCCGGGCCAGCACTGACTTGGGCTCGTTCCATTCCCTGCTTGATCGGAATCTCTGGGGCTCAGGTAAGTGCCTTGAAACAAGCACCTTCCAGTTCGATTCATTTGCATCCTAGAGGGAGAGGATCACTGCTCCAGGACACCAGAGCATGGAGGAAAAGAACCATGGAGGGAAGAAAAGGATGTGCTGAAATACGGAGACCACAACAGATATGGCACTGGTTATCCTACTGGAATGAAAGCCCCGAACACAGGACTGTCTGCTCTATCGTTTTATTTCTAGCACTTCTACCAATGCCTGCCACATAGAAGGTGATAAGTAACTAGCTGCTGAAGACAGTGACAGGTCCAATAACTAGATGCTTTGTATTAATTTTTCACCCCAAATGCCTAGCACATGGGAAATGTCCAGTGAATAATGGCTGATGAGAATCATTAAGATACGCGTGCTTAGCCTGTGCCAAGGCCTGCGATAAAGGCTCTGGGGGTGTTGTCCCATGTAACTCTCACAGCTGTGGGGGGATGTGGTCAACTTAGAGCTCTCCTTTACAGCTGAGGAGAATGAAGCCCCGAGAGGCAGTCACTTTCCTGAGCTGATGAGCAGCAGAACCAGGACTCAAAACCCTACCTACCAGACCAGAGCCCATGCCTACCCCCACGAGCTTTCACAAATGCACACAGACCTGTCCTTCTGATACCAGACTAACATGAAAACCTTCTCTAATTCATCTATCCCACCAGCTCCATAAGCAGTTATCAATTCTAGGGGTTGGTGAAATGGACAGTAAGGTTATAGTCAAAAACTGTGCTGAAATAAAACCCTACTACTCACAACCATGTTCTTCTCAATCCCATTCCTGTGGAGTTTAGTAAATCCATTCTTTTTCCCCGTGGTTCTGTGTTCTAGGGCAGTGATTCTCACACTTTAGTCTGCATAAGAATCAAGCTAGAGAGGGCTTGGTTCATTCAATGCACACTCCTGGGTCCCAGAGAAACCACGACAGCATTGCTTGTAAAAACACACACAAAATAATCTATAAAATGTCACTTGAAAATGGTCCTATATATATATTTTTTATCCTCACCTGAGGACATTTTTTTTTTTTTTTGCATTCATCTTCAGATAGAGCGGGAGGGAGAGAAGAGGAAAGAGAGAGAGAGAGAGAAACATCAATGTGAGAGAGAGACACCGACCGGTCGCCACCCACACAACCCCAACCGGGGCCGGGAAACAACTGCAACCAAGGTACGTGCCCTTAGCGGACACCGAACCTGGGCTCTCTGGTCTGCAGGCTGACACCATCCACTGAGCCAAACTGGCCAGGGTGAAAATGGTCATATTTTTATTTCTAGGCTCTCCTAATGCTTTTTCCAACAACCTCCTGGAAAACAAAAAGTAAGTTCATATGTTCAGCAATAATTCTGGAAGCATCGTTCTATTCACCAAGTATAAAAACCCTGTGGGTATCCCAGTATCATACACCACCAAGGAAGGAGAACCCTTCAAGTTCAATTTTCCAGAAGCTGAGCATGTCTCCACAGACCCAGCCTGCTTGGCTCCTCTGTGCCTGGTTTCCTCTGGACCTGGCTGCAGGCGCTTCCTCGTGCCCACGTGCAGCCTCAGCCTGCTTCAAGCTTCTGACTCATCCTGGCCCATGGGAAGGGAGCCTGAGGAGCCCTCAAATAGCAGCTCAACGGCTTAGTCAGGTTCCTGCTGATTCCACGCTGACTTTGGACATGTCTGCTAGACCGGGTCCCTGAATTAGAGCCTAGTTCTTCCGTGTCTGCATTCCTCTCCTTCAGCTACCCCAGCAGCTCTGCAGCTGAACTTCAAATTCATCAGTAACTAGGATCCCAAACCATCTCCTCATCCATTCTGTCCCCTTATGCTCTCTGCTTCCTGTGACAGAAGTCCTGCTCTTCTGCCGCTCTGTCTCCACACACACCCAACACACTGCTGCTCAACCGTAATGCCCAGTAACTTGCATCTTTGTGCAGATTAAAAAAAACACCCTCTGTTTTCACATAGCCCCATGGCCACATATCTTGGCATGGGCCGAATTTCAGCCACAACATTCCCCTTAGCCAAGTGCCCCTGTTCATGGCTCATCTCTACAACCTTACCAGGTGGCCCTGCTGACAACCTGTGTTTATTCAGCCCTGGGAGAGGCCCTTCCCCATTCATGTCTCTACCATGCCTCAGCTCACACTGACTCCCAACCAAGACTGTCAGAACTTGGCCAACAGAGCTTACACCCTGTCTTCCTTCCTCTTTGCATTGAGGACTCAGTCTATGACTACTGTCTGCAATCTGAGCTCCAGCTTTGCATTAATGTCTAGATTCTGGTCCAGCTCCATGGGTCCCCTAAAGCCTCCTAGACCTAGTCATCTTTTTTTTCTTTTAAATCCTCACCCAAGGATATTTTTACATTTATCTTCAGACAGAGTGGGAGGAAGAGAGGGAGGGAGGGAGAGAGAGAGAGAGAAAGAGAGAGAGAGAGAAAGAGAGAAACATCGATGTGAGAGAGATACATTGATTGGTTGCCACCCACATGACCCCAAAGGGGGCCAGGGACAAACTGCAACTGAGGCACGTGGCCTTGGCTGGAATCTACCCCAGGACTCTTTGGCTCACAGGCCAACACTCTAACCACTCAGCCAAACCAGCCAGGGCTAGACCTAGTCATCTTCACATAGCCCAAACCTTAGCCGAGACACAAGGGACCCACCATGATGGATGTAAGGTCTCAGTCCTCTTCAACTCATTGACTGTCCTTTTAAGTGTAGTCCTTATTACAAATTGGATGATCCAAAAGGGTCCATAACCTCATTTCCATACCAAGGACCCACACCCTGTGGTATTGATGATCCTGTAAATAATAGCACAGGTCCTTAAGTACTTGCTGGGCATTGTACTAAGCCCTCTGCACATGCGATGAAGAAAGCAGGGACACTATTATCCCCATGCTGGACATGCTCAATTCCCAGAGCAGTGGCCAGAATGCAAACTCAGATCTGTCTGGACTTTTTAAATGCACACTATAGGAAACTATAATTACTGTATTTTTATTTTTTTAATTAATTAATTTATTTATTTTTTTGTTTATCCTCACCCGAGGACATTTTTGCATTTTTTGTTCAGACAGAGCGGGAGGGAGAGAGAGGAAGAGAGAGAGAGAGAAACATCGATGTGAAGGGACACATCGAGTGGTTGCCACCCGCACGACCAACCAGGGCTGGGGACAAACTGCAACCGAGGTACATGCCCTTAGCGGGAACCGAACCTGGGTCTCTCTGTACCACAGGCCAACGCTCTAACCGCTGAGCCAAACCGGCCAGGGCTTAATTAATTTATTTTTTATTTATTAATTTGTTTTTGTTACAGATGTTTCTCATTTTTCCCCCATTGACACCCTCCTCCCCTTCCCCCTTGCCCCATCCCCAGCTTTGTTGTCTATGTCCATTGGTTATGCATACATGCATATAAGTTCTGTGGTTTATCTCTCCTCCCCAAAACCCCCTCCTCTGAGGCTTGTCAGTCTGTACCCCACCTCTATGTCTCTGGGTTAATTTTGTTCAGCAGTTTGTTTAGTTCATTATATTCCACAAATAAGTAAGATCATGTGATATTTGTCTTTCTCAAATTACTGTATTTTTAAACTATAGCATCTTGAACTTAATATATTCACTTAATAGCTTTTTAAAGTAAAGAGAATGATACACATTAAATGCATGCATTTATTAAAATATACTTATTGGAAACACTAACGTGTAAAACTAGTCGTTTCACAATTAAAGAAATAAATCTTGCCCTGGCCAGTCTTGCCCAGTGGTTAGAGCACCGGACAATAGGCCAAAAAGTCATGGGTTCGATTCTAGTCGAAGGCAAATACCTTGATTGTGGTTGGGGCCCTGGCCCTGGTCAGGGTCAAGTGAAAGGCAACCAGTTGAAGTCTCTCTATTACATCAATACTGATGTCTGTCTGTCTGTCTGTCTGTCTGTCTGTCTGTCTCTCTCTCTCTCTCTCTCTCTCGCGCGCGCGCTCTTTCTCCCTTCCTCCTTCCCCATGCCTCCCTCCCTCCCACTCTATCTGAAGATAAATAAAAAATTATCTTTGGGTGAGGATTAAAAATAAATAAAAAAGGAGAGAAATCTTAATGAATCATTAGTCTGGCTGATGGGATTTTGCTACAAGGCCCTGCAAGTGCTCAACAGACCATACATAAGGAATAAAATAGCATATACAAAATTGATATGTACTATCATACCTGAAAAAGCTAAACTTAAATCTAAAGTGTTGAGTTACTGCTATTTGATACAAATTAAGGGGGAAGAAATTCTGACACTGCTGAGTAAATTAATAGAAAATTACAAGTTGATTTATGTGTCACCCAAAAAACTATTTACATAATTTCAACAGATTGGACTGACTATACACTTTCTGACTGATTTCTAAATACACTGTTGTTGTTTTTCTTTCTGCAAGACAGAAGAACATGTGTAATTAACTTCCTTTCTCTCCTCTTCCCTCAGTTCTGCTAATACAATGACATGCAGCTGGTTTCTGTACACACACACGTACTTTCCTCTTTCAGTCTTGGAAGATAGATAATGCTTTTGTTAGACTTCATCCTTGGCATATGTAGACAGATATTTTCACCTAATTAAAGCTAAGCCAAAGCAGATGACTGAATCTTCCCCTGAAAATTGGATGTGCTCACTGCAAAGAATATAAAACAAAGAAAATGATGTTTCAGCAGAATTTGTTTTTTTTAGTAGCACAGCGGGACACACTCAAATCAGTCAACTAATAGTATACTATTCAAGATGCTAAAAATAATGAACTAAAGCTTCCGTTTTCAAGATTTGTCCCTTTAGATTCAGCTACAATGAAAATATACAAAGAGGTTTTTAAGGGAACTTCTTATGTTCCTACTATGTAATCATATTTTCTCCCAGAGACCCACTTCCTCTCCCAGAGGGGACATTTTCTCTATTTCCTTATGTTAATACCCCACTAATAAGATAGCCTCCAAGGAGTATTGGATACTGTTTACAGGTTAATGATTATGGCCAATTTTTTCAATTAACTTTTCTGAGATAAAAATTTTATGTAATAAAATTAGCCACATTTTAAGTACAATTTGATGAGTTTTGACAAACGCATATGGTCATATAACCACCACCAAAATCATACTAAACATTTCCATCAACCCAAGTTCCCATGTCCATTCCTCTTTGTAGTCACCCTTCTCCCTGTTCCTGTCTCATGATCTGTTTATCGCTGTAGCTTTGCTTTCCCTAAAAGTCTGTGTAAATGGAATCATGCAGTTATCTTATTTCTGGCTTATTTCAATTAGTATAATGCTTTTGGAAAAAACAAACAAACAAACAAACAAACAACTCTGCATTGTTGCTTCTACCAGGAATTCATTCCTTTGTATTGCTAAGTAACAGTCCATTGTGTGGCTATACCATCATTTGTTTATCACTTCACCAGCTAACAGACATTTGATTTCTTTTCAGTTTTTGGTTACTGTAAATAAAGTTACATTGACAATTTAAGTATAAGCCTTTGGGTGGTGGGCCTATGTCTTCATGGGTCATATAGTAAATGTATGTTTAAATTTACACGAAAATTTTATATTGCATTCTGGTGCCTATTTCTGAACAGAGTTGCTTTAATCTCTCAGTTAAAAGAAAAAAAGCCCCTACCTTTTACAATTCAAATTATTGACAGAACTGAAACTCACAAACCACTGACAGAGGTAAGAAATGATCACTCTATTAATATCTAGCACTCATATGCATGTACTGTCAGATCACAGGAGGATCTAACCAGTCAGTCAGCTAAACAGTGTCCGCCTGGCCAGTGGCCACAAGGAACAGAGCAGCTCAGACCCGAATGTTTTCCCACATCCTTCACAGCCAGCAAGTCTCACCAGACTCTGTATTTGTCCTTGGCCTGCATGCATGCTGTCCCCTGAACGGCTCCCTCCTCCTCCTCCCCACTGCTAGATAAGCCCCTGCCCAGCCTGGCTGAGTCAGAAACTTCCTTGACCAGCTGCCAGTGGGTCTTCCCATGTGTAAGTAATAAAGGCTAAGTCCTTCCCTCTAATCCCCATGTGTGGCACTCCCGGGATTGGAGCTCTTACAGCACAGGTGCTCATTTACCTCAGGACATGGGGAACAGAGTTCACAGTCTGGTGAGGGACCAAGTTACACTATTTCAAATTGATTATCTGTTGTAAGAAGAAAAGCTAAACATTTTGGATCCTGCTACTTAAAGTGTGGCCCATTGACCAGCAACACTGGCATTACCTGGGAACGTGACAGGAAAGCAGAATCTCAGCTCCACTCCTTCATTCACTGAGTCAAATCTGCACTTGAACAGAATCTCCAGGTGGTCTGTGTATTTGGGGAGCTCTGGGGGTAGGAGGGAAAAGGGAACAAGGTGCCACTGGGAGGACCAGGGCTTCACCAAAAAGAGTTTTTGAGATGAACTGGAAGTTCATCTATGCTATCTCTTTTTTTTTAAATTTTTATCCTCACCCGAGGACACTTTTGCATTCATCCTCAGACAGAGCAGGAAGGAGAGAGGGAGGTAGCAAGAAAGAAACATCGATGTGAGAGAGACACACCAACTGGCCGCCACCCACATGACCCCAACTGGGCCCAAGGACAAACTGCAACTGAGGTACGTGCCCTTAGCGGGAACCGAACCCGGGCCTCTCCAGTCCACGGGCCTACGCTCCAACCGCTGAGCCAAATCGGTCAGGGCCCATGCTATTTCTTTTACAAGTTCTTCGGGGCTTGACCTTTTCAAATTTCCAATCAACAGACTTTTCTCTAAAGAAGCTAGTGAGACTCTGAAAAGTAGCTTTCAGAAAACATTCACTATTCTTGGGGATGTTTGTCATTTCTCTGTAAGTTGCCTAATCATTTTTATTTCTATTTTGTTTTCAGCCTTATCCTTCCATTTTACTACCAGTATCACTATGATGCTACTGATATTTTTGAGAGGGAATACAGGGATGGGCGAAATTAGTTTTACAGTTGTTCGTAAGCAAAAATACGTAATAAGTAATACAAGAATAAACTGCGTTTCAACAGGAAGCCCCCTCCTGCCCGCCCCTGCGCTAGACTCCTCTCTGAGTACACCTGAAGGACACACATCCCTAGCACCTCCCGATTCTCCTAAAACTGCCACCGAGTCACCAGCCAAACCTTCACACCAACATTTCCGATGATTGCTAGTCACCATTTGGACCCAAGAATTCCAGATCTTAGGAAAGAGCAAGGATTCAGGGCATTGAACCGTATTTCAGAAGAGGCAGCCAAGATTCAGAAGAGCTGGAACTTGCCAAAGGTTACCTCACTCAGAAGTAGCAGTGTTGCAGCACAGGAGGATATCTGCATGTGGATTGGTCTCCTCGTGTCTTTTTTCCCATTCCGGTCCTCTCTGTGCTCTGTGGGTCTGCATTCCTGAAGCACCTCCCTTGGGTGGCACTGCACAGGCCGGGGTCGCACCCCTCTAACTCCTCGGCCTGTGCTTCTACGTCTCTTCCTCTTCAGCACACCTAAATACAGGTGTTCTCAAGCTCTTATCTTAATCTTGTTTCCTAAAGCCACGTTCTTATTACTTCTCAGCTACTAGCAATAATCTCTAATCTTCCTTCTTAAACCAGCTCACAAGCTGCACCTGCCATAAAATCCTCTCTGTTGCCACCCGCCCCACAGTAAAACGTCACGTGGTGTTCACTGTCTGCCACATAAATGTAAAATCTCTTAGCCTGGCACTGAAGACTTCTATAAGTTGGTATTTCCATCTTCTCAGCTTCTTCATTCAATTTATTTTTTTGTAGGTAGCCACATTATTCGGTGTTAGGGTTCCAGGCTTGGCTATCAGCCTCCTGGGTTTGAGACTCAGCTCTGCCCCTGACCAGTTGTATGACCCTGGGAGGTTGCTAACCTCTTTATACCTATGTTTCCCCTTCTGGAACATGGGAATAATGGTGCTACCTAATAGAGCTATTAGTAAGTAGTAAGTATAAAGCACTTAGATAAATGTCTGGCACATGGTAAAGACTCTCCTAATCTTGTTTTAATTCTTCCTTTAAAACTAATGAAATATTCGCTGCCCATACACCAAACCCTCAATGAAAAACTAACTTCTAACACCCTGGGAAAGATCCTACAGGATTCGTGGCCTTGTGTGAATGACAGCCTCAAAAAACTAAGCTTCCGTGACTACGCTAGCTGTTATTTCTGCACATTCATGTCAACATTTCAAAACATCTGGGATAGGAAGTCTTACTCATCTTGTTCTGAATATAAAATGAAATGCACTAAAGACAGAACTAATTCACTAGCAAAACTTGTCTTAGAATTAGACAGGGATATAAAAGCCACACCTCTTTATGCTATTCATAATAAAGCTGCTCTGAATCTCAGTAAAAACAAACAACTCAGATTTCTCATTAGCATGTCAAATTGAAGCAAGGAATAAAATCAAGAACTTTACAAATAACCTGAGTTGGAGAATAGGTTACATCTTTCACTTTGATTCAGATCCATTATAATGTTGAGAAGGGTTCAAATATTGTGTTCTGGGCACAGAAGCAACTCCCAGGGTGAATCAGCAATATCTAACAAGGTGGGAAGTGTTGAGTACTCATTGGCCCTGGACTACAGAATGGGGGAAGAAGAATTGTTACCGCAATGGATGGCAATAAAAGGAGTTTAAATTTTCTGAACACTAGGTGACAGAACTGTTTGAAATGCTTTAGATGTACAATTCTTTTAATCCTCAAAACCACCCTTTAATAAAGGCACTAATTGTCACCCCTATCATACAGATGAAGACACTAGAGCCCAAGGAGTTATAATGTACCCAAGAATACCCAAGGAGCAAGTGTCTGGGTTTTCAGGCACACACCAGAAGCCATGCTCTGCACCATTATGCTACAAAGATTCAAAATAGGTCCATGTTCTTGATGCCAAGAGATGTACAGATTGACAGAAAAGGCAGTTCCCCAAATCACCAAGATCCACTAAATTAAGATGCTTCTGGCCGTGAGACCCGAAGCCCCAGCCCCACCTTCAGCCTCAGGAGTCCTGCACGCCTGAGGTCTCAGGACACTGGGGAAGGACTTTGAACTCACTCGGGAGTGGTTTCAGTTTGAATAATAAAGCGATCAAGAGAACCTCAAGGACTAAATCCCAAAACCATTATAAATGTCCACTTTCTCCAGTACCACTAAAGCATCAAGTTCTCAGTCAGTAAGTGCCCTTCACAAAACAATTTCCAAATAAAACAGTAATGAACAAATCTGCTGGTAGAACAATTGTTCTCTGATGAGCCTTAACAAACCAGAAAGACTGTATGAATTCATGGGTAAAACTCTGAGCTAATTCCTGGTGGACAGTTGAGCTGTAGAACTTTCTCAGAATAAATTTATCAATTGAGATTCCAGGAATACTAAAGAGAATATGCCTAAAAATTATATTAAGGTACTTCAATAAAATTGTTATTAATTGTAGCATTTAAAGACAGAGAGAGAATTCAAGATCATTCTATCAAGAAAACAAGGCACAGAGAGGGCAAGCATCTTGCCCCAAGTCACACAGCTTGTTAACAGCAGTTTCTACAATAGTTGTGACTCATGTAATCTTCTAGTTTCAACCTCAGAACTTTCTTACCCTTTCACTTCCAGATTGGTTAAAAACAGTCAGTCCTAAGAGGCCCATTCATATTGAGAATAAAAGTAATATTTAAAACTACCCTAGCTCAGCTGTGGGGTATGCTGAAGAGTCATTGGTTATCGTAATAGTCTCATAGGCCCTCTGGCCCCATGTGAACTCATGAGAGATAAATTCACAGGCAGCTACAGACAAAGGAGAGGGTATTTTAAAGTCACCTGCTAGAGCCCTGGCCGGTTTGGCTCAGCAGTTAGAGTGTCGGCCTGCAGACCAAAGAGTCTTGGGTTCGATTCCGGTCAAGGGTACGTACTTCGGTTGTAGTTCAGTCCCTGGCCCTGGTTGGGATTGTGCGGTAGGTCTCTCTCACATTGATGTTTCTCTCTCTCTCTCTCTCTCTCTCTCTCCCCCTCCACCCCCCTCCTACTCTATCTGAAGATAAAGGGAAAAATGTCCTCCAGTGAGGATTTTAACTAAATAAGTTAACCAATTAATAAATTAATAAAATCACTGCTACAGATGGAAACGTATCAAACATTTCAAGTGTTCTAACTCCATCTTACAAGTCTGAGTCAATGGCAGTGCTGCCTTTGCTTACCTGCACTTTTAAGGAATCCGTTTCCCAAAGGTGCTCTGTTCCTGAAGATGAAGAACGTGGTAAGAGTGCCGGGTTTCAGGGGCTGTCTGCTGATTTGTGGTACCACTAGAAATTAGCCCACACGGTTGTGCTGCTTCTTCACGTGCAAGTACTGCAATGAAACACACAGACAGCATGCTTCTAAGAATGGCTTCGCCACGAGGGAAACAACCCATTGAAAACATTTTCATGAAAACGTTACTTTCGTCAACTCATTCCTGACCCCTCCCCAAATGCCGGACAGGATAATGAAATTAACAAAAACAAAACAAAAAATCCAACAGCAAAAACAGGAGCATATATTACATTACTGTGGTTCATGACTGGTTATCCACAGGATCCAGCTCAGTCTCCTTGACAAAAATAACACAGCCAGCTCAATTAATCCAAAGCAACCTGGTAATGAAAGAACCATCTGTCTTATTTTTCAGCTTCTCTCCACACACACACAGCTTTATTGTTAAATGAGGAGGTGAGAGAAGGAGCTGGTGCTCTGCAAACCCTTGAAGGGGAGGGGAGGGAGGGGGAGCCCAGGGAGGAGGAGTAGAGCGGAGAATGAGGAGGAGATCAAGGCAAATAAAAACAGCAAGAGAAAGTGTGGGGAAATTAGTAAAAACAGCAACTAGTTTAAGAATGTGCTGTGACCACTTTCTCAAAACATTTTTGGGGAAAAAAAAATCTTAACATACTCTTGTTATAGTTTTTCTTACATAAGACTAACCCTGATATAAAACCCAACAACAAAAACTGTAGCTCTGTACTTCCTGTGTTAGTAGAAAGTTGTTTTTTTTTTTTTTTTTTAATTCTTGAGAAACAAATATGGAAACCAACAAAAATATGCCAAATAGTTTATTTCAGAAGCCACTCATGAACTCTAATGTCCTACAATAAGGAAATCGTTATGCCCTATTATGAAAATCACATAGTGACATGAAAAATGTTTAGATTCTACCAAGTAAAGAGAGAAAGAAATGTAAAAACTGAGTGCACTAAGCTCATTTCTGTGTGTTCGGAGTGTGTGCAAACACATTACTGAAAGCCGTTAGGGGAACTCGAACTTGGTCGATGTGCTGAGTTCTGGACTACTGAGAATGTTTTCTTAAAAGTTTAAAATCTTAATCTAAATCTAAAATTCAAATCTGAAGACTAAAATCTTAAAATTTATAAACAAACAGAATTCTTGTTTTCATATATTCCTATATGCATTTCACTTTTGAAGTGCTAAGCAGTTGACGCATTTAGGAATTAGAAAGAAGGCAGTGCACCGTCATGGCCGTTATTATAACAGGAGTTTCCACCATGAGACAGAATTGTGAACCTAGGAGCTCATGGATAATGATATGTTTGTGCCTCAACAGCATTCTCCCCACATGTATAAAAATACAGCTCCTGTGTTCCTATCATCTTCTACCCACTGCTACTTATTACCAGCTGATGTAAAAAGGCAATCCCAATAATCTAGTTTGAGGGGCCCTTTAAGATTTTCTAGTCTAAATAAGTGAGTAAAGAAATCTCAATATTACACCAGGAACAATGGTGAGAATAGGAATTTAGTAATGCCCAGGGAAGCTTAAATCAAGGAAGGAAATAAGATAGCCCAGTCTCCTGTTCAGATGGTCTTCATAAAGAAGTAGCATGAGCCAGGCCTTGGAGGCTACCAGTGGTTAAGGCATAGCCAGTGAAAGCAACATTCAAGGACTCAGGTTTGAGTTCGGTACAGAAGAACCTGATAATATTTAGGTTGCCTAAAAATTTCTGGGTAATGAGTCACTCGTTACTAAAGATAGTCTGTTCTAGAAACCACCTGGGAGGGATTTGGACAGCAGGGCTTAGTACAGTTTAATGTTCATTGGCATCACCTGAGCATTGTGTTACACTTCAGATTCAGTAGTTCTGGGTGGGGCCTGAGAATCTGCACTTGTAGCAAGCTCCCAGGTGATGCCAGTGCTGTGGGTCAAGACTGTGGGTCTTGTCAAGGATGGAGCCTGATTATAAGCAATAGAATATTATTTAAACCAGTGTTTCCCAAAGTGCACAGTTTTCTACCAAATAACTTCAAATGTCCTCTTTACCCTTGATTTGGGGGCTAATGATTAATAAAAAGGTTAAGTGGTTATAAGCAGGGTATTAAGAGTCCACACATTCAAATCTCAAAAAAAAAACGTTTGCATCTTGGTATCTTGCAGTACTCGCCAGGTCCCATTTCTGAGCAATAACTAATTTTGCACAATTCTAAGGAAGAAATGTTTCACTACTCTTAAAGAAAAAAATGATACTCTTACTCCGGGCTTGGCAGATAAATAAGCATTTTCTGATGAATGAATGAATGAATGAATGAATATATGCATTCAAATGCAATTATTTATGATGTCAGCATTCTACCATTAACAGAGAGGCAGGGTGACAGATGTGGCTACAAAGTAATTTTTCCCAGTAATTTGTGTTATAAAATCCCCAAAGGCGGAGAGGAGGAAAGTCTCCCAAGGCTATAATTTGGAGGGTTCTTTATCTACGTACAGCATGGCATTATTTTTCTAATGCTGGAATTTCACCTCTCTACCACCCATCTGAGTCATAAAAATTCCTTCAATGCTTAGAAAGCTCCTGTTTCTTGCTTGCTCATATTTTTGCTCTGCTCACCTACTTAGTTGATAAATTTGGGCTTGCAATGAGATCAAAATCCCATGTAGTATCTTTCCTGGATAAATATGCTAACATATGAACACAAAGACCTTCCTCAGATCTCAAAGCATCTGGTATTCTCCCAGAGAAAATAAACCCACAACTCAGAAGAAACCAGTTTCCTGCCTTTCCTCCCAGCCCTGAAAGTCAGTCCCCCTTCCAAATGGGTTTACTGTTTTAGTTTGCTTAAAGGTTAGAGCATCAAGCCCGGCCAGCGTGGCTCAGTTGGTTGCGTGTCATCCTAGGCACGAAAGGTTGCACATTGGATTCCTGGTCAGGGCACATGCTTGGGTTGCAGGTTCAATGCCCAGTTTGGGATGTGCAGGAGGCAGATAATCAATGTTTCTCTTTCACTGATGCTTCCATCTCTCTCTCCCTCCCCCTTCCTCTCTCTCAAAAATTAAAAAATATATATATTTAAAAAAAGTTAGAGCATCGTCCCAATAAACCAAGGTTGTGGGTTCAGTCCCTGCTCAGGACACAGATAAGAATCAGTCAACGAATACATGGATAGATGAAGCAATAAATCAATGTTCCTCTCTCTCTCTAAAATTAATAAGTAAAAAAAACTTGTAAGTAACATTCCATCTGACTTACAGAGGCCCTTTTTTCAAACTACTTATTACATCAGTTTATTCTGATTGAGCCTAGCTTTTTCTGCTATCTAGGAAATATCATCTCCTATTTAATTCCTCTTTTGCTATATTTTTTTTATCCTCATCCAAGGACATTTTTCCATTTTTGTTCAGATAGAGTGGGAGGGAGAGAGAGGAAGAGAGAGAGAGAGACAGAGAGAGAGAGAGAGACAGAGATAGAGAGACATCAACATGAAAGGGACACATTGAGTGGCTGCCTCCCGCATGACCCCAACCAGGGCTGGGGATGAATCGCAACCGAGGTACATGCCCTTGACTGGAATTGAACCCGCAACTCATTGGTCTGTGGACCCATGCTCTAACCACTGAGTCAAACAGGCCAGGGCCTCTTTTGCTATTTTTAAAAGAAAAAAAAAAAAAAAAAAAGGAGTTAATTTGAGGGTAAACAATCAGATAAACAAATCAAACCTTAAGATTAAAGTGTTGGAAGTTTTCCTGCTTTCCACAAACAAAAGTAAGTATGTGATAAATTTACATTACTACCAATCATCAGATGAACCTCTACAACCTCAAAAATTAAATATATGATGTAAGTCTTCATTTGGGGTACCTTATAATTTATTATTGCAAATAAACCCATACATATGATACATGTTTTAATAAAAGTATATATGCCTAGGTTTATTTTCTAATACACTAGAAGATTAATCCTTTAGTCAAAGTACACTGAGTCAAATTTTAACTTGGAAAGTTTTCACCTTCTGGGGTAACTTTGTTCATTTAGTCAATGAATAATTTCCCAACGCCTACCCTAAGTCAAAGACAGTTCTAGATACTGAAGATACAGTAGCAAAGAAGAGAACAGTTTACAATCCAGAAGAGAGAGAGTAATGAGCTAGTAGTTCACAAGTAACTTTTCTTTTTTTATTATTGATTTGAGAGAGAGAGAGGGAGAGAGAGATAGAAACATCGATGAGAGAGAACATTGACTGGCCGCCTCCTGCATGCCCCTCACTGTGGATCAGGTCCACAACCTGGGCATATGCCCTGACCAGGAACTGAACCAGCGACCTCTTGGTGCATGGGTCGACGCTCAACCACTGAGCCATACCAGCCGGGCCACAAGTAACTTTTAAAAGACAGTTGGGGTTTGAGTAAGAACTGACCCAGGTGGAGAAGATGAGGGAGATTCTCTGAAGAATTTGAGATCATTCTCAGAAAACTCCTCCAAGAGTTAACCAGATGAAATTAGGGTGGAAATAAAAAGCAATCCAGGCAGAAAAAAACACAACAGTTTTAGCCAAGATTCTGACATGAAAATGAAAACGGCACAGTGAAGCATCGAGGCTACCAACAGGAGTGACGATGAAAATCTAACCTTTGCTGCATAGCTACTATGTGCGTGGACGCACACAGTCCTCCCCACGGCGCGGAGACAGGCACTGGGGTTCTCTTCCTACGGATAAGGGAACAGGCTTAGAGAAGTTGACTTGTCCAAGATCTCAGAGTAGAAGATGTCAAGCAAGGGTTTGGCCTAAGCAATGCTGCTGGGGTCTTTATTCTGAACCTATAAACCATTATAGCCTCTCCAGAGCCAGGTCCACTTCGAGATTTCCTCATGTTCAGATTCACTGTCAACTTCCATTCTCACAGAATAACGTCATAAAATGTAGATGTATTAGAATGGCTTCAGTCTCGGTCCCAGTCTTGATAAATTCGTAGCTTCCAGTTGGAACTTAATTCCTTGCAAAATATTACATGGTGTTTTTTTATCACAAAAAATGTTAATAGAAGTCCAAATGTCAATAGAACAAATGCTCATGAACCCCAAAACTAACATACCATATCTTTTCAGCAATTTTTGTCAAACACAGATTTCAGTTCCCTTTCTACTCCTGTTCCTCTTCGGTCAGAGGCAGCCTCTATCATGATTTGATAGGTAGGCAGCCCACTTTGTATTCATACACAGGTGCAAACACACACATTCCTAAACATATGGTCTACAATATTGTTTTCTGTGATGTTTACATAATAAACATACAATATTCTAAAATTTGTGTTTTCTACTCTATACTTGCGATTTTCAGGTCCACCCACACTGATAAATAAAGGTCTAGTTCATACATTTTCAGTTCTGTATTCTATTAAGCAAATATATCACAAAGTTAACCATTCCCCACTAGTAGACATTTGGGTTGTTTTCAGAGAATTGCTTATTTAAATGTCATTTTGGAGCCAAATTTCTTTTATCCAATCTGCAAAAGCCAGTCAGCGAATCTTACAAATTGCTAGAAATAGTCTCAAAGAGAAATTTCATTTTAAATAGAGGGTTTTTTGGCCCTGGCTAGTGTACATCAGCTCAGCGGTTAGAGTGTCAGCCAGAACACTGAAGGGTCTCAGATTCAATTCCCGGTCAAGGGCATGTGCCTGAATTACAGTTCGATCCCAGTCATGTGGGAGGCAGCCAGTAGATGTGTCTCTCTCACATTGATGTTTCTCCCTCTCTCACTCTCTCTCCCTCTTTCCCTCCCTTCCACAATCTCTAAAAATAAATGGAAAAAATATCCTTGGGTAAGGATTAACAAAAAAATTAAAATTAAAAATAAATTAATAAATAAATAGAGGGGCTTTCCCCCCTAAAACCTTTAATAGCTGACGTCATATAAAAACACCGAGATATTGAAATACTATGAATCTTTGAAAAAGGAAAATAAATAGCATTCTAAATGAGAAAATAAATTTCTAGTTAAGGTAACTCTATAATAATCTTGTTGAAACAAAACATATTGAAGAGCCCTGGCCAGTTTGGCTCAGCGGTTAGAGCATCCGCCTGCGGTCCGGAGAGACCCGGGTTCAGTTCCCACTAAGGGCATGTACCTCGGTTGCAGTTTGTCCCCGGCCCTGGTTGGTCGTGCGGGTGGCAGCCACTCGATGTGTCCCTTTCACGTCGATGTTTCCCTCTCTCTCTCTCTTCCTCTTTCTCCCTCCCACTCTATCTGTGCAAAAAATGGGAAAATGTCCTTGGGTGAGGATTAAAAACAAAACAAAACAAAACATATTGAAGAGAAAGTAGATACAGAAAATAATCTTCTTACAACCACTTTCTCTTCCTGAAAAACACACTGACTGGGCAAAAAAATCAATGTTTGAGCAAGTAGATAAATCAAAATTTCCTCTGGAATGCTTTGTTTTGTGTTCTGGCCAGAAAATAATCCAAGGCACAACCCCACAGAATTTTTTACCAAGTTTCTTTTTAGAATCAAGGGTTTGGGAAGTGCCTACTATAGTATATTCCAGAGTCAATATTTGATAAGGCAAATAATTAACCAAAGCAGTATAATGCTGGTCTTTGATCTTGAGATGTTCACACCTTTAAACCGTTTGACTATAAACAATGTTCTTTTCCATTAATTACAATTTTTTAACTCAAGTTTATTATCGAGTGTAAACTGAAGTCAAGTCTACAAATACATGAAGACCCATATGGGATCCCTATACCTTTAACGGTATTCTCTATAAAAAAATAATCTGAGGAAACTTCAAAAGGCAGATGTTTTATCATATGGATAACTGTTTACTAAATGGCTGCATTCTTCACACTTGAAAATAACCTAGTCTAGAAAATGCCAAAGGAAATTCAAACAGGATCATTTCTTTTTGGAGGGAGGGAGGTCTCTTCTCCTAGTAGATTTCTAAAGACGTATACAGCATCTCCA